TATCCCACGGTAGTTGGCGCAGATTGTGGGGTCTCTTTTTTTGAGGATTGGGCATAGCACACTTAAATTCCAATCGTTGGGCATGCTTTCGTCCGATCATATTTCACAAAGAAGCTGATKYATGCTCCTTATTAGTTCTTCGCCGCCGTGTTTGAATAGCTCGGCCGGCAATTCATCGGCGCCCGCCGCTTTGTTGTTCTTCAGGCGGGTAATTGCTATTCGTACTTCTTCCTGGTCGGGCAATGGAACGTCTGCTTCATCGTCATCGATTGGGGAATTGGGTTCGCCTTCTCCTGGCGTTGTGTGTTCACTGCCATTCAGCAGGCTGGAGAAGTGTTCCCTCCATAATTTAAGTATGCTCTGGGCATCGGTGACTAGATCACCTCTGGGAGTTCTACAAGAGTATGCTCCGGTCTTGAAATCTTCTGTTAATCGCCGCATATTTTCGCAGAATTTTCGAGCATTACCGCTATCTGCAATTACATATTTTTGTCTGCCAATGCATCTCGTTCCCTCTKCAACTCTAGGTATCTATACCATTCCTCTCTTGTTCGGATGTCTATTGTGATTGCAGCTTCTCGAAGTCGAACCTTCCTTGTGTTTGATGGCGTGCGTTTCTTACTGCACAGAGGCGCGTGCGAATCTTAGCTGCAATAAGATAGTGGTTCGAGTTGATGTTAGGACCTCGGAGCGCACGCACATCTAAAACACTGGAGACKTGTCTTCCGTCTATCACAACATGGTCGATCTGGTTGGTGGTTTTTCGATGCGGAGGCAGCCAGGTCTCTCGATTTATCTTCTTATGCTGGAATCTAGTACGAAAGAAAACCATATTTCGGGCCCCGGCGAAGTCGATCAGCCTCAACCCATTTGGGGATGTTTCCTCGTGGAGGCTGAATTTACCGAGCGTAGTGTCAAAGATACCTTCTTTGCCCATCCTGGCGTTAAAGTCGCCAAGCACAATTTTGACATCGTGGCGGGGGCAGCTCTCATAAGTGCGCTCCAAGCACTCATAAAAGGCATCTTTGGTCACATCGTCCTTCTCTTCCGTTGGGGCGTGTTCATGGGCACCAATCAGCGATATGTTGCAGAACCTCGCTTTGATGCGGATTGTGGCTAGACGTTCATTCAACGGAGTGAATGATAGTACTCGGCGACGGAGTCTCTCTCCCGCCACGAATCCCACACCAAACTTGCGCTCCTTTATATGGCCACTGTAGTTAATGCCACAAGGCCATTCTCGTTTCTGTCCTTGTCCCGTCCATCGCATTTCTTGGACGGCGGTGATGTAAGCCTTTATTTTTACGAGGACATCAACCAGTTGGGCAGCGGCACGTTCCCAATTAAGGGACCGGACATTCCAAGTGCAAGCCCTCAATTCGTAGTCCTTATTTCGTTTGCCATATTCCTAATTAAAAGGGGGGTTTCTCATCCGAGGCTGATTGCTAATTTTTTTGGGGGTATTTTTTTACGTGGCGGGCCCCAAAACCAGCGCACAATCCTGCGGAGGAGATGTTTCGTCTTCTCACTTTAGCTCGCCTTCAAACGGATGTTCTTAGGCTACCCAGAGGATACTTGGTTAAAGACCGGAAGTCGTGAGCTGCTTGGGTCATATGTAAAAGAATCGTTTCTGGCCACTCCCAAGTGAATGGCGATCAGAGAACTTTCCTCAGTTGCGTGAACTTCGACACATGACTCCATCCTCCGCTGAAATATACTACGAAAATTAAAATTTTGGAAATACATATATATGTTTGCAGCAAAATTTTTTTGAGACAAAAACCACCCTTTTTCAATTTTTAAAATTTTTTAGATTTTACACTTTTTTTTGATATTTTCCCAGTTCAACCTGAACATAAATTATTAAAAAATATGAATCTCTTTGAATTTTTTATTCCGATAAAAATCGCGACCTGCRTCCTGAACGCCGTCTGGCATATGCACATGCGATAAGTATCTGGCAATTGCTTTTCAAAGGCAAATTAAAAAGATTTCGTATAAAAAAATGTGAGGATGTTGGTTAAATATATAACTACAAATCCTAGAATTTTCGAATTTTTTAAATATCCGCATTTTTTTTAACTCAATAATTAACACATTTCGTGTGTTTTACCTATGCTTTCCCCTATAGAAATAAAAATAAATTTAAATATTAAAATATTTGATTTCTTAACCTATATTTCAAATCTGTGAGCGATTATCTTCTTGCTTTGTTTCTGATAGCAAAACCGATGAAATTGGTTTCCATGGCACCCAAAACCGATACAAATTCATGACACCTACAACTTTTTTTGATCGGTTTCAATTCTGATTCCAACAACTATCAGATTCAACAACGCCCCTGAATATCACTAATGCTACACGAATGATGTAGATTTTTAATCATAACCTTTATTGTGCGCTTTTGTTTGTCTTCAATATGTACCATGAAGCTCCCAACGCAGGCAACATTTTTGTCACCGATCTGCAGTCATCACTTGATGTAACGCTTACTTTATGAATGTCGTTATATAATAGTTTTAGTACAAATTATTTCTTTTTGGTATTATCTTTGATTAGGTTTATGTAGTTCTTTATAGTTAGAGATATTTTAAATTATCGGTTCATACTTCGGTTTTTCATTTTTAGCTGTGTAGTTTTCACTGTTTTCGGTTTGGTTTGGTTTTCTTTTATAATCACTTCTGGTGATGCTTCGGCTTTACGCTTTTTATTAGGCGTTTTGTTTTACTTTAAAATGCAGTATTTTTCAGACCTAATTCTTCTTTATCAGTTTCGTATTGTAATTGTCTATAATTAGGTACAAGTGGGGGCTTATTCGTAGGTGTTGGCAGAGAACATATATATATGATATATTTACGTTCTCAGGAGAAATTTTTAGCTTTTGCAACAGCCTCTCCACTCAATTATCTCACCGTACTTAAACTTCCAGGCGATCTCCGTGAAAAGCATTTCCCTGTATAAACAAGTTTTTTAATTTAATTATTGTAAATATTTAAAATGATTGAATTTATTAAATTTATTTCTTTCACACTTTATTTTTCTCCACTTCGCCCCAGATTTGCCTCATACTAGTACTGTTGAATGTGTAATTTAAACATTTTAGATGTTTTTCCACAGGTTTTCCTTTCTACTGCGACCTTCTGTGTCAAATTACAGTTCTATATCTTAATTTAATGCTTAGTTATGGCATTTTATAGGTCTTTGTTTAATGGAGTTTTGTGGGCAGAGCTGTGGTCCGATTATCTGCAATACTAACCGTCTTACGATATCTAGATAAATGTGTACCAAGCTTCATAAAGATATCTCAATTTTTACTCAAGTTACAGCTTGCACTGAAAGACGGATTTGAACCCGTCTCTCCAACCTGATCATTTATGTATAGTAGGTATATGTGTATAATGCTATAACTAATTCGACTAATTTTAGGTGGTACAAACAACAGTTAGGCGAACAAAACTATCACGCAATGGGAAAATATTGCAAGCCCGAACCAAATCCCGCCTCAGAATTATTTTATTAAATGAGAAGATCAAAAAAAAAAAAAAAATTTTAAACAATTTGAATGACACAATTATATTAAAGTTTATAATTTATATCACATGGGTAAATTTGTATGAGTATTGTGTGTTTTAGGCCCTTATTATAGTTTTCAACCCAATTGCATTTTGGTTGAAGTTTTTAAATTCGGTATTATCGATATCAACACAGTAAAATAAAAGTTCGGCTGAAGTATTTTCAAACTTGAAATTTTTTGAGAACTTCTGTAAAAATATTAAGTACTACTAAGTATAGTACTAAGTGCACTAAGTATAGTACTAAAATTGAATTGATTTTATGGATATCCACTGGAAAATGAGCCGAATGAATCAAATAATCAGTAATATGCATATATATTACATACTCACCCAGGTTACATTGAAAAAAATGTCTGTTGCTATATTAAAATTAAAGAAATTTATTTTCTATTTTTATATTATTTATATACTGTGTACATAAATATTTACAAACACATTTCATAATACTATATTAAAGCCTAACACAAACTTAACTGATTTTTTTATATGTATAATTTTCAGCAAATATATATAGCTTTAATTATATATATTATATATAATTATATATGTACATATATGTCCATATGTTATATACATAGGTATTGCTATTTATTAACTAATTAACCCTTCTTTTTTATCTATAGATTAAACTATGAGAATATGATTTCAATATCTTAAGGTGCTGCCAGCTCCACGTGAATTTAATAGGGTTAATTCGTGCAAAATACACATGTTTTTGTGATTTTTTTTGTGTGGACACAATTAAAATCTCTTTTTAATACCAGTGGTATATCAAAGTATGGTATTCGAATAATGAGAAATATAATTTCYACGAAATAATATCAAAAATATGGCAATAGCAGTTTAAAAAAGGAGTTTTTGAAATCCAACTTTTCATTTCTGTGGATCTATTTGAAGGACAAAACTCGTTTTCGCTTTTTTCGAAATAGTCGGATAATTAAAATATAATAAAAATTATTTAAAAAAATTTAAAGTATGATAATTCAATAAATATACAGAAATATTGGTAAAAATGTTAAAAGAATCGGTGCAGTTGTTTTGAACTTATGATATTGACTTTCGAGCTGTGGAAAAAATGCTTTRAAGTTTTGAACAAAAAAACTAGAATTGGGAAATCTTGGTTTTTAGGATCCAATTAATTCCTCCAGCGTTATTATTAGTATCACTTCATATTTCTTTATTATATTTTAATTTACTTACTATGCACTTACAGACATTTTATATACTGCTTAACACAAATGTACATACATCATGCAATACTAAATATTTACATACAGTATTATTGAATATCTCTCATCCTTACGCACATATAATTAATTGTCTATATCAAATTTAAGATTTATTTATTCATGCATGCACTCTTTATACAACTTTAAGGAAATTTGGAATTATATTAAATGTGTGTATTAAGAAAGGCACTTCGTGTAAAAAATATTAAAATTATTGAGTCGGGTAAATATATGGTATATTATACTATACGCGTCAAAGGTTAAACCATATTAAGTACGTGTTATGAATTCTAAAATTTTTTCTTTTCTTTTAAAGAACTGCCATACAAATTAGTTGACATTGCCTCGTTGAATGAAGTTAGAATAAGTACAAGATATTTTGATAATTATGATAATATAAAATCTATTGAAATTCCTAATTTTACCAATACAAGTCTGATCGAGTTACGCTATTAGAAAGAAAAGAATTCGACAAAAAAAAAAGGAAAGCAGGCTAAAGGGCTGAAAATGTGAAGCGTTTGTGGTTCTAATACTGTAATAGCCAATTATTCGCAATCCGCAATCTTGGTTTCGTCCATTCCGTTCCGAAGATTTTTATGCCAAAGACCYAATTGTTCAAAATATCGACAAAATATTGAAAATCGCCGACTCAGAGAGTCAGGTGAGCACTGTTTTGATAGCATARAAACTAAACACTACACAAATATACGGTTTGAAACATTTAATTAAGGTTGGATACAAAAAGATTCAATAATGTGAGGATTCCATAGAAGAATTGACACCAAATTATTAAATTTTTGTGTGAAAAATTCGTCTAAAAAGGTTTCCACGATAGTGGCATTATGAAATTACCTTCGAAATTGCAACTAGTCATCGAACAAAACGTTGCATAATTGCCCTAATTTCGGAACATTCTAACGATGATAAATAAAATCTTCAATTCTATGCAAAAATAATTGGTTTATTTTTATTGGACCTATAATACGATAAAAGATAATTTGTGATAAAAGAAAATTTTCCTATTCGGATTCTACTAAACAATCTTAGAAGAATTAGTTGTACTAGTTTAGGCAACTTATAATTCTTGACATTAAGTTAGTCTATGTTTGGTACAATAAAAAATTTTAATTCGAATACTATATCAAGTGTAACTGTAAGCAATTTTAATTCACCAATTTTCCGTGTATTGATAACGTTTATCACAACCATTAGCCTACTTAAAATTATCAAGTATGTAAATTGCTTCCCATATCAACAATTGTCGAAATGGTTTCCATTATCAATTGAGTAGATTTTGGCTGAAAAAAGTAAATGAAGAGATCATATATAGTAAATAATCTTAGGTCAATGCCTTCACCTTTCTAATATTTTCAAACCAATAAAAAAAATGAATTATTATATTGTATATATATACATATATTCTTGAAAACTTTTCAGTTTTCAAATACAATTTTTTTTGGAAAAGTCATTGTTAATATTACTTTTGTACAGCCAAGTACTAATTTACATTATCATCATTCAACCATCAACATTGCTGATGAGAATTGTTTAAGGAAATATGAATCATTATGTCCATTTTCGCAAAATTTTCTTAGGAGTATATATGTATGAAGGCATTTTTCACCTCCTGTAAACTATGGTTTGGAAGTAATGAATGGGTTTAAAAATGTACTTAGCAACTGAAATATCGCTAGATGATTTTTTAGAAATCCAAATCTTACAAATCTATGACTACACAATTATAAGAATGCACACATGTATGTATACGTATACTCTCATAATTCTTATCACTAATTTATTTAGGTATTCATCACATTTACTATATGTCTATGGGTGATACAAATATATACATACAATATATTAATATACAAATTATTTCTAAATTTACATGTTACAGTTCGGTGTCTTCTGTCAAATGAACTACGTTCAAAAGCAAAAAGATCTCTCCGACTCCGTGTTATTGACAGCTATCTGAGCTTTGGGGTCTGATGGTGCAGTGTCCTGACTCTTCATCACGGTTGTGTCCTCGTAGTTTGAGTTAGGATTGTCATTTATATTGTGACTCTCAATTGTTTGATGTTGTTGCTCTTTTGATGTATTGTATGAAAGATGGGCAGTAAGTGTGGCAATTGCCTCGGCTTTATGTTGAATGGTATCGAATAAAATAGCTTTCATTCCATCACATTCCTCTGAATTTTGTCATCCATAATAGAATTGGGAGTTCACTGGAACACCAGTCGATAATGTCCGTGGAGCTGTGCCATCGTAAGATAACTGTTGTTGCATTGCGGAAGGATCAGTGGTTCGACGTAATGTGGATGTTGTCGAATACTGACTGTTGGTTGTGGAACTTATCATTGGCGGCGTTTGGAGATTCGGAGGTCGCTTTAACATTCCCTCAGCATTAATAATGTAGCTCGCACGTATCGTGGGTGCAGTTGTGTACTGTCCAATTGAGGTAATTGGACCTATGGAAAAATTTAGTAAATATAAAATTCATAAAAGCAAGTAAGAAAGGGATCGAGAATCTAAGCAATTTTTTATATACATAAACTCTATATAACTCATACACTAACGGACAAATTCGGCATAAGATTTGTTAGAAAAACGAAAAACGTTATACGTAATATATGGGAAGTTAGGATGGTATGACCACATCATCATGCCACATATTAAAAAATGTACCCTGGGTTTCATTAAAGTAGCTCACATACAATGACTAATCATATGTAGCAAGGTCAGCCGGATGTTCCAAAATCCTGTAAAAGTTATATGGGGGTTAGGACAAGTTTTCGCCCAATAGTAACTATATACTGAGTAAAACATTTTCAGTAATTTTCATTCAGATAACTCAAACCGATATATCCAGCACGAAGTCACCTGGAAGTTCGAAAATCGTTATAAGGAAATTGGGGGTCAGGTAAGTATCGACCCGATTCAACCCTATTTGATACACAGAATTACCATTGTAAGGAAAGCATTTTCAAAACTTTTGCCCACAGGTATCCATTGCTACTGCGATGTCCTGTGCGAAATTAGGGTTATATATCTTAACTTAGTGTTTAGTTAAGGCACTTTATTAGGGTTTCCGTTGATGGTGCTTTGTGGGCGTGGCAGTAGTCCAATTCAATTTACGCAAATCTACGAACTCGTAATTTTCTTTGTATTGAGGAACCCTCATAACTAGTTTCATCAAGATATCTCAATTTTTACTCAAGTTGCTGCTTGCGCGGACGGATGGACGGACAGACAGAAAGTCATCCAAATTTCAACTTTTTTTTCATCCTGATTATTTCTATAGTATATATATCTCGCTTAGTTTTAGGTGATACGGTGATACGACAACCGTTGGGTGAACATAACTATTATATTATGTAGCAACAGGTTGCAAGAGTATAAAAAATTGTGCTAACAATTTGAATTTAATACACAACTGAGCTAGTAAAGGACACTTTCCCACGACAAATGAAATATAAAAYTAAATCATTTCAAATCGTTCGCCTTCATTTCAACTGCGCTGTGCAAAAATTGTTAATGAAAAAATACACAAAAATAGATATGTACGTCTAACAATAACAGACCTCCACTTCAACAAAATTTCAGAACGTTAGTAAAGAGGATAACTACAAGATTAACTAGTATATTTTTAAATAAACTAAAGATTTTATGGCAATATGTAGGTGCTTTAAATAACTAGATTCATATAATTATTTTTAGTATACTAGGAGTATGTATACATAATAAAACTTACCACAACTAAGCGAATTACTGATACTACTTCCATTGCTAGCAATTACAATTGTTGGTGGCAATATGCTACCAACACCCGTTTGATAGCCAATGGCGCCACTAGGAGGCACCGCTAAGTGAGCTTTTGATGTAATACCGATGATATCGGGAGATTGTCTTACTCCGCATACGCCAGGATTCGTGATTATTGTTGAGGGAGCAGATGTGCCCATGATACCAGTGGGAGGAATACTTGCTCCACCTTGTAATACAAGAGTCGATGAATTCTGCGATCTACTGGATGATCCAAGACCATTGTATAAACCCCCATTGGATCCATAGGAAATATAATTCTGAACAAAAACATAAAGAATATCACGTTCAAGTAAGATTTTGATTAGAATAATGAGTTGGAATGAAAGTGATTTCATTATTATACTTCAATACAGGCAGTGAAAGAGAGAGGATAGGAGATATGGGAAAATTCCTCCCGGGGCCGGTGTTCTCAGGGCGGGGCTGGTGCTCCGTAATGATGTTTTGTTTATTTTTCCAGCAATTCAATAAAATCATATCCAGGCCCCGTTTTTCTCTCTATGTCTCTGAAAACAGGCACATTTGTGACCAGACTGCAATTTTTAAAAACTCACCTCATTTTTCGAAACACTCGGTACAGAAATTGTAGTTGGCATATCGATCTCGGCGTCAATCTCCGATATAGTGTCATTAAAACCATTAGGAATGGTAGTATCAGCGCATGGGTTACGTGAACCATCTATGGATGCCATCTGAGTCTCCGAACTGAGAGCTTGACTTTTTTGCATCCAAACATGAACAGACACAATAATTATGCAAATAATTACACCGATTAAACCGGCGATTAGAAGATATAAATACAGTCGTTCCTGGTTATCTATACGCCGATAAATAAAGACAAATCGTTTGTGATTAATATATATACATAGTAAAAACGCATTCGCTTATTTACAAATACATGTATAGAAAATGTACACACTGTATATACTAATGAATTACCTTCCAGACTTAAGTCGGCACTGTGTGTCATAACCGGATTGATACTGGCGCTGTCTGGAATTTCAAGATGAAATGATATATTGCCATTACTAAAGTTCGAAGTGGCGTTAGTTGCTGAAGCATTTGTACCATTTGACCTAACAGCAGTAACAGTACTGTTGCTATACACCTTCGGAATTGCTTCAGATTCTTTATAGTTCAATTCATCGTCATACACCTCGTTATCTCCATTGAATTCTTCAGTCTCATCTCTTTCAACTTCTGATTCGTATCGGTCTTTTAAAACTTGCTTTGGAACTGAAGCAAAAAATAACAAACACTTTATTTATTACACAGCTCCACAAAAACATTTTTTTGTTGCCTTCACATCTTATCAAATTTTAATGCATTCAATTACGACCACATTACGACCTTATTCATGAAATTATTGAATGTGACCATATTTTTAAGATAAATGCATATGTAATATTTTGATAATAATCGGGTTATTAGTAATTATTTCACGCATATCACCACTCTCCTTACCTCTCCCCACGGCTCGTTACCGAAAATATTGGAAAAATTTTAAGATTTTTCTAAAAGCCAAACGTGGAAATATATAGAATTTCTGTCCATATAATGYCCCATTTAACTCAATGGAAATTTTGCTTGCTCTGAAAAAGTAATTCGTAAGGACTACACAGAACGATGTCCCCAATTACACAAATTACCAAAGGATGTGAATAAGAGAGAGCACTTTTACATTTGGTTAATACATTTTACTACTTGTACGCAGACTTTTTCTACGCTGCCAAATGTCTATTTTTCGTAAGTTTTTCTATAAAAATAAGGGGTCATGTATATGGTATGTATATAATACGTTATTTAGTATATGCATATATGTGGTAATATGTTATGTAAATATTATAGCAAAGTTAATAACTTTATCGTATTTAATCAGCTTTCACGACTTTTAAATTAATTACACATCGAAGAAGCTAACTGCAGCAGTAATAAAATATATTGTACTTACCACAAGTATAAACGACTTTCAGATACATTTTCGACATCGGTTGGCACGGTGACCCGAATGTGTTCGCATCTGCAGCTAAGTTACAACGGCGGCGCCCATGACAAATCTGCATAACTGTTTCGGTGGCATACGATGCTTGGCATGCTGAAATTTTAAATAAAAATACAGTCGCACTCAAAATAATTGTACTCGTAGTATTATACCATATTATATAATTTTCGGAAATTTCAAGAATAGTCTTTGAAAACATATGGCAGAAATTATCATTTTCAAAATAATTTTTTTACGTGTTAAATACACTTTATTCGAACTATAATTTTCGATTTATTTATTTATTATCCTGGTTTTTGATTATTCTTCACCTCATGAAAAGAATTTTGTTGAGCAAAGACGTAGGTACTTTTTAAAGTCTGAAAACTACACTGTTATCGACAACAACATTTTTTGACAGATAAGTTATTAGTTAGTA